TTTTGGTGGGGGGATACATGTCTAAAATGAAACTTTACATAGTTATTACTAATTATAGTTAGATAATTATTCTCATAACATTAAGATGATATTATGCCCGGTAGTTACTCCGCCCAAACTCTTTAGCTAATATTATGCCTAGTTGTTATGCTAAACCACTATGATAGATAAGATCATATATGGTTGTCAATTGTCACGCTGGCCAGTTGCCAGGAACCACTGAAACTCGTTATTTTAGCCACCATTTGGAGTATTAAGTTCATAAAAATGCAATCTTGATTTTTAGTTTCCTTCCATGCATGGGTTATAATGTCTTAACGAGTTAGGAAGTTACGGTTTTTGTTATTGGGCACTTAGTATCCATACAAGACCATAAAGGTGGAAACTTATGGTTAAAGACGTTATTTGAGGGCTAGATCTGGAATTTTGACAAAAGAGCTTAAGGTAGGGATGAGCAAAAGGATCGAACCGGCCGGAACCGGACCCGACCCGGGAACCGGCTTCAGCCAAAATCAAGAACCGAACCGGCCCGGCGGTTCTACCGGTTCCCGGTTCCTATCGGTTCTTGTCGTGTCTTCAAATGTTGGAACCGGTCCTCGAAAAATAGCATCATACGGTTCCGGTTTTTGCCGGTTCTACCGATTTTTGCCGGTTCTACCGGTTCCGGTTATATCGGTTTCGGTTCCTACCGGTTCCCGGTTCCAAAAATCCACAAAAATAACGTCCCGGTCCCGGCCCGACCGGTTCCATCGGGTTCCGGTTCCGGTACCGGTTCCGGCCGGTTCCCCGGTCCATATGCTCATCCCTAGCTTAAGGATCAAGCTCTTAATAAGAAAGGAAAGGAATTCATTTCGTATGCTAGATGTAACCCAGGTACGCCACTCGTACAAGGTCAGCCAATCCGTTTTTGGTCAAGCTTGAGTACGCTAAGCGGCGTACTCAGCTGTGTTGACTAGATTTGACTTTTTGACTTTGACCAGAATTTGACCAAGTTTGACCTAAGGGTAATTTAGGTATTTTGAGTTGTATTTAAGATTGGTCACTATTTGATGAATAAGTGACGGGTAGAGCTGATATTCGGAGCACATACCTATTCAACTTTTTGTTCGGACTGAGAAGTGAGTTTTCATCATTGTACTTGCAGGTCGAAGGCACCAATGCCGGTTCATTGGGTTATGTGTCTTGGTTTAGAGGATGTTGCTATGATGTATTGATCTGTTAGTATTGAGTCCTAGTATAAAGGATGTTGTTATGTGATAGTGATCTATAAAGTTGCCTGTTAGTTTGATTGACTGGTTATATGTTTATTTGTTACTATTATATGTTATCTGTTATGTGTATGTTGACATAGTATGGTTGGGTTGAGGCGTTACTGCTTTGTGTGGATGCCAATAAACCTGGGAGCAAGCCAGACATAAGCCGTAGGCCCAAAGGGCAAGCCAGAATTATGTTGTGGGCTTGGGAGTAAGCCAAACATGAGTTGTGGGCCTAAAGGCAAGCCATAATCATGTTGTGGACTCTGGGGTAATCCAATCTGTTAGCTGTGGATCCAATATGTATGTTGTTATATGTTGTGTGGTACTACTTTGGGGAACTCAATAAGATTTGGCTTATAGTTTCAGTCTTATGTTTCAGGTACTACAGATGACCGTGGGAAAGCGAATGCGTGATTGTGAACATCCTCTTGGTTTTGATGATTTTGATTTGAGACACTCTGATATATGATTTCTATGTTTGAGAACAATGTTTTGTAAACGATTGACTGATTTAGGATTTTATTTGAAAATAATGATTTCACTTGATTTAAAAATGAAAATTTTTACCTAGATTTTTGGGATGTTACAAATAACAACACGACCGACCAGGGGAGGCCCCCACAACAAGAGTTAGATGAGACACGATTCATCAACACGTTGATAAATTTTCTGCTAGCTCCCGACTTATAATCGTTAAATCTCAAGTGAACGGGAAAAATATGTATATCTTTGGCCTAAAATCCTAACGTCGCTCAGCCTGACGTTTTCGTCGCCACGGGTTTGACATAGACTATCCGAACTTAAATATTCTATATTATCTCTTGGAAACAATGATAGCAAATAATCATTTATTTATTGGACATCTTTATTCTTTGGAGTAAGCAGTGGTCTTTCTTGAAAATAACCTAAAATCTTGAAGTTTTCAAGAATCAAAGGGTATTCAAACTCAATTAATGCACCTACATGATCACATGGATCATTAATGAGAATATGTTGTAGAATATCAATAATCGTTTAGCGATCGTTTGAACCAACAAGTTTATCTTCTCCTATATGTAAAGCCGGTTTGCAAAATCCCTTATTTGTTGAATAAAAGATGGATCACTTCCAACAATTAACCTCATGTTTTTTTCGTTAATTTATGGACTTTACCTTGTTTCATAAATACGAAGAACTTAAAGAAGCATTAACGATGTTTTGTCTACTACCACTCGGAATAACAAGTAGAATTTATCTGAAATCTCCTCAAAAAACAATCACTTCCCATCTAAATGGCATATTTGAGTTGCTAGACTTATCATACCTTAATATACCCTTCAGAGTTCGATCTAAAGCTTCAAATGAATGCTTGTGGACCATGGATGCTTTATCCCAAATGACCAATGGGGTTTTTCTTAATAAACTGGCGAGTTCACTGTCCGACTTTATTTTACAAACATAACTCTCATTAAGAATCAACAGAATTTAGGCAACAACATTTCTGTTATCTAACTTAACACCAAATTTTTTTACAAACGATCTATCGTTTCTTCTCCTATATAAGGGAAAACCATTCACATTAACTAAAGTATAATTACAAAATTGTTTTGGAAAGTTTTTAGAATATTTTTTGTCCACCATACATGGCTAGTTGATATTTTTAGCTCCATAGTGACCATGAATCACGAACTCGCTCACAAATGAATAGAATTATGGATCTTCATCAATTTTGGAATTTCAAACAGAAAAAATCTCATCAATATATTCAACAATATGAAGCTTGTAGTCAACATTCATAAACCGACATATATGACTATGAGGCACACATCTTTTTTGAAATTCAGGTGTATAAACCACTACAAATAAAAACATATAAATAACATATGATTTTTAGTAGATGAAGTATATAAACTAAAGAAAAAAACCATAACTTTTTGTCAAAAAAGCAAAAGTATAATTTTTAATATAAAAATATAAAATTTTAAATCAGTGCCTTTTAGATGAAATGAAGTGTATTTAATCAATGCATCAAGTTTGATCTTAAATAATCTACCTATGATACCATGTCTATCTTCTGATAAAGTGAATTGTCCTTAAGAAACCTTTTAACAGTGAATTGTCCTTAAGAAACCTTTTAACTTCAGACCATTTTGGATTACACATAAAGGTTATGAAGAAATGTAACTTACAATGTTTCAAAATAACTCCAAAAGAGCACAAACCATATGTACAAACACAAACAAACAATATCATAAAAAATCTTTAAACGGGTTAAAAAAACTGTTCTCACGATGGAAACCCTAAATGAGGCAAACCTCTCACAATCCAAAGAGAGGATACACGAACTCAACGTGCGGTATTGTATTTCTGTTAAATTAAAACTTGTCATGTTGTATCACACACAAACACGATATTATTGTCCGATTTAACACCTCTAACAAAAATCAAGTAGGTATAGAGGACGTCTCTTATACTTGAAATTCAAAAATAAACTAGCAATATATTATTTGAAAGTTATTGCTCATGATATTTTATTAATCGTTAAAGTTATATAATATATCAAAATTAATAAAAAAAATATAAAATAAATAACAAATTGGTTATTTTACAATGAATCAACAGGCTAAAGTTAAAAGTTTCTTAGATAATAGCAAAAAAAAAAAACAAATTAAATGCTTGTAGTTTTTGCTTTAAAAGGGATAATTATAAAAAAATCAAATAATTTTTTTTCCTATTTATATTTTTATTTAAACCAAGAAAAATATCAAAATCAAGAAATTATATTAAGAAAAAATTTAATGAATTTCAACATGTAATAATTTTATAAGAATAAAAAAAAATTAGTAGAAAAAAAAGAAATATATATTTAAATTTAGAAAATTAACCACTTTTTAATGTTTATTTGAACAAAATAACCAATTTTTTTCTTCAAAAATACCTATTTGGTTTGAAATGAGTATTTTAGACTAAAAAAAACATTTTTTTATTGATTCCGAAATGACATTCCGGATTCCAGACTAAAATTTCGAATTTCAGAAAAAAAAAACTATAAATTTCAAGAACAAGTCTGAAATCCGATGAACAATTTTGGAATGTCGAGAAAAAAAATTTGTTTTTTACTTAATTTTAACAAATGGTTAAATAAACATAATAATATAACCTATATACAATATTATTAGTGTATAAAATTAGACTTTCTATGAAACTGTGACATTAAATATTTAGAAATGTATCATTAGGAATCCCAAACATAAAAAAGTTCTTTGAAAATTAAAAAAAGAGAAAAAAAAAACCTTCAGAATATGAATAGACCTTAGGAACGAGGGCATTCCGAAAAAAAAAAACGATTACTTTTCAAAAAACTGAAAAAAAAAATGATTAGTTTCTTTAAAACCCTCAATTACAATGGTTAGATTACTGTTAACTTTTCCTTTAATTTTTTCTTATAAAAATAATTAGCCCATTGTAATGCAGATGGTCCTGTAACTTATTTTGTTTTTTAACAATTGAAAATAATGTTGATTCTTACGCGCGGCTTGGATTTTATTTTCCGTTGGAAGTCTGAATAACGAAGACGAAGAAACAGGGGAGAATTTAAAATCATATGTGTCTACCAGAATTCAACTTGATTTCTAGAAAGATTCTGGAATTTACGGCAAGAAAATGATTATCTTTTTATAAGTATTATGCAATTCTTGTTTTGATGAGATTGAGTTTTTCATCGGAGTTTTTGGTTGATTCAACCGTTTGCAATCGGCGAAAGTGATGTCGGAAAGGAAAGCGACATCCAGACCAAGACATAGCGGCGGAGGTGCTGCCGGTGGTTCCGATAGTGGTTCCTCATCACGTAACGTTCATCCTCAGGCGCCAGGTTATCGCACCGTTTTCTGTAACGATCGCGAAGCCAACTATCTCGCCAAATACCTGGTATTTCTATCTACATTATATAGACATAACATAGAATTCTTGCCTAAAACTTCAATCGATTGAATAACTGTTTTCTACACTTTATTTTATAATATTCTTTTCAAATTTGGCGCTTGAATTATGAATAGGGTTTCTTTTCAATGCCTGTACCTTTCTAGCTCTTAAACCTTCATGATTTCTATCGATTCAACCCCTTTTTTTATATGAAGTTTATCAAATTTGCTATTTACCATTCCTTCTAGTTATAGCACTCCTAGGGACGCTTAGCATCTGGTGGCGTTCTTGAGGAGCATGAAATTTTACAAACACTTAATCTCAATTTTCTTCATATCGTGACTAATTTATTTCATGTAATCAGGGAAATGCGGTATCAACAACGAAGTACAACCTTGTTACTTTTCTCCCAAAGGGGCTGTATGAACAGGTAAATCATTGTGAAGATGGTGTAAAAGTAAAACAGATAATTACATTTACAATAAAGCTAATCTGTAATATATTGACATGGTGTTCTTGTTTGTAACTGACAGTTCAGGCGGGTGGCTAACCTCTACTTTCTTACAATCTCATGTTTATCATTTACACCTGTTAGGTATGCATATGCAGAAAGGGAACCCTAGAATGATAACATTTGAAATTACATTTATTGACACTCCTAACACACTTCTTTTTCTTATACAGTCCTGTTAGTCCAGTCACAAATGTAATCCCACTAAGCATTGTGCTTTTTGTCTCTCTTGTTAAGGAGGCTTTTGAAGATTGGGTAAGCATTAAGAGTGCAATTATTGCTTATGTTTCTTATAGTTGTTTATGTTTCTCATTCATATACAAAACCCTAATTATTAACAGAAGCGGCTTCAAAATGATATGACAATAAACAATTCTCCTGTTGACTTGATGCAAGACAAAACATGGGAATCTGTACCCTGGAGGTCGCTGGAGGTTGGGGATATTGTTAAAGTAAGTATTCTCCATTTCTACATTTACAAATCAATCACTAAATTATAAATATTATTAAAAGTTCAATGCAAATCTTAGTGTTCATCTGGTTGTTGTAGGTGAAGCAAGATGGGTTCTTTCCAGCAGATTTATTACTCCTTGCATCTACAAATCCTGATGGCATTTGCTATATTGAAGTCTGTTTCAATCCAAGTTTATTAATTAAAAGGAATTCAGATTGGTTTTGTTATATGATTCATTTTAATTTATGCATTTTCCATGTTCATAGACTGCAAATCTGGATGGTGAAACAAATCTTAAAATCAGGAAAGCTATGGAGAAGACATGGGACTATGTGACACAAGAGAAAGCCTCAGAATTCAAAGGTTATATATAACTTATATTATATGTTTATTATACTTTTAATTTAAGTTCTTGAATTCCATTTTTACATTGATGATGTCTTTATATATACCATTTTCAGGCCAAATACAATGTGAACAACCAAATAATTCACTTTATACCTTCACTGGTAATTTGATAGTCCAAAAACAAACTCTACCCCTTGGTCCAAATCAAATTGTTTTGAGAGTAAGATATTAATATTATGCTACTTCTTTTTTCTTATTGTTCAAATTCTTCCTTTATATATATATATATATATATATATATATATATATATATATATATATATATATATAATTTTATGAAATTTCAGGGATGCAGTCTACGCAATACAGAATACATTGTTGGGGTTGTAGTATTTACTGGACACGAGACTAAGGTTTTTTAAATTATTCCATGTCTTATCTTTTCTATCTGTATACAATATTACAATTACAAAACTATGTTTAAACTGTATTAAAATACAGGTAATGATGAACACCATGAATGTCCCTTCAAAAAGGAGTACACTTGAGAAGAAACTTGACAAAGTAATCGCTACTCTTTTTGGTGTTCTCCTAACTCTGTGTATCATTGGTGCTATAGGAAGGTATTATCAACTATCATGCTCATAAGTCATAAATTTTGTTTCCCATTTTGACCTTTCCTCATAAATTTCACAGTGCATTATTTGTGGATGTGAGGTATTATTACCTACAGCTTCAAGTTAATGTGGAATCTGAACAGTTTAATCCAGGAAACAGACTTGTGGTGTTTGTTCTAAGCATCTTTACACTGATTACTCTCTATTCACCAATCATTCCAATTTCCCTTTATGTTTCTGTTGAGATGATCAAGTTTATTCAGTCAACTAAGTTCATAAACAATGACTTGCATATGTATCATGTTGAAACCAACACTCCTGCATTAGCAAGAACATCGAATCTGAATGAAGAACTTGGGCAAGTTGAGTATGTTTTCTCTGATAAAACTGGAACTTTAACAAGAAATTTAATGGAGTTCTTCAAGTGTTCTGTTGGTGGAGAAACTTATGGAAGTGGTGTTAGTGAAATTGAAATGGGAGTAGCTAGACAGAATGCTGCAGACATTGAAGAGGTATGCAAATGCAATTCATAAATTTGTGAAAAACTTATATAACTTTTTTTTTAAAATTATTATTATTATTTTTTTTAAATTCATAGGTTCAAAGACCATCAAGTGCAACACGTGATAAGGGGTTTAATTTTGATGATGCTAGACTTATGTCTGGTGCTTGGAGGAATGAGCCTAATGCTGAGATGTGTAGGGTAATTAATTTACTTTCATATAAATTGTTTTAACATGAAGTTTTTAATAATTTATTAAGATTATTTTTTTTCCTTGATTGTTTAGGAATTTTTCAGATGCCTTGCTATATGTCATACTGTACTCCCGGAAGGTGAAGAGACACCCGATAAACTTAAATATCAAGCTGCATCACCTGATGAAGCTGCTTTAGTTACTGCTGCAAAAAACTTTGGCTTCTTTTTCTATAGGTATTTTTAAATTTCTAATTATTATTTATTATAATTATTATGGTATAATGTATAGATATAAACTATTTTCAGGCGTACGCCTACAATGGTGTATGTTCGTGAATCAAATGTTGAGAAAATGGGAAATGTTCAAGATGTTTCATATGAAATCCTTAATGTTCTTGAGTTTAACAGGTATATAATATTTTGGTCAACTCTTTGACTTGATGGTTCATGGTATGTTATTTGACCATAATTATTTTTTTTTTACCTTTTTTATAGTACTAGAAAGAGGCAATCTGTTGTATGTCGTTACAAAAACGGGAGGCTTGTGTTGTATTGCAAAGTAAGAATCTAGTAAACTAGTAAGGCTCTCATTGCAAACTTGAAGCTCTTTATTGACATGAAAACTGACTACTAATTTAGAATCTGTTGATCACAGGGGGCTGATACTGTAATTTACGAAAGATTAGGGGCTGGAAGCGATGAAATTAAACAAATTACGAGGGTGCATATGGAACAATATGGAGAAGCTGGATTGCGAACTCTTTGTCTGGCTTATAAAGAATTAAGTGAAGACGTTTATGAAAGTTGGAATGAAAAATTTATCAATGCAAAATCTGCATTACGGGATCGTGAGAAGAAATTGGACGAGGTACACCCTGTTCTGTTCTGGTTTTTTTATTTTTTTATTTTTAAATATGTAAAACTAAAAACAGGTGGCGGAATTGATTGAGACGGATCTTAATTTAATTGGATGCACTGCTATAGAAGACAAGCTTCAAGAAGGGGTACCATCATGTATAGAAACTCTTGCTAAAGCTGGAATAAAGATTTGGGTGCTTACAGGGGACAAATTAGAAACAGCAATAAATATAGCTTATGGTATATAACTCATTTTCCCCCCTTTCTTCATAATTTATATATATTTAATCTCATTAGAAAGATTTTAATTTTCGCAGCTTGCAAGTTGATCAACAATGAGATGAAACAGTTTATTATCAGTTCAGAAACTGATGAGATCAGAGATGCTGAAAACAGAGTAAGCAATAGCTCCTACTTAATTTTACCATATCAGAATTTTTCAATACACTTAATTTATTAAAATAATAATGAAAAAAAATATATAACCAGGGTGACCCAGTGGAGATCGCTCAGCTTATAAAAGAGACAGTTCAAAACGAGTTACAAAAAATACCATGAGGAAGCGATGACGATCCTCCGTGGCACATCTGGTCAAAAGTTGGCACTTCTTATAGATGGAAAGTGTTTAATGTATGCATTAGACCCAAGTCTGAGGTCAATTTTGCTTAACTTGAGTTTGAACTGTAATTCAGTTGTCTGCTGTCGTGTTTCTCCTTTACAAAAAGCACAGGTAAAATAATATATCAACATTAAATTTTTTTTGTTTATCGATAACTAACGTTGTTGATTATTTAAAAAAGGTGACAAGATTGGTGAGAATAGGGGCGAATAAAATAACACTAAGCATCGGTGATGGTGCGAATGATGTAGGAATGATTCAAGCAGCAAACATCGGAGTCGGAATAAGCGGTCTAGAAGGAATGCAAGCAGTAATGGCAAGTGACTTTGCAATTGCTCAATTCCGGTTTCTAACAGATCTTCTCCTTGTTCATGGAAGATGGTCTTATCTCAGATTATGCAAAGTCGTTTCCTATTTTTTCTACAAAAATCTCACATTCACATTGACTCAATTCTGGTACACTTTCAACACCGGATACTCGGGTCAAAGATTCTACGACGATTGGTGTCAGTCTCTATACAACGTCATCTTCACCGCCCTCCCGGTTGTCATTGTCGGACTCCTCGACAAGGTAATCACCGATTCCATTCCCATGTTCATCACTCCATTGTGATTCCATTCCGTTGTGTCATGTGTGTGTAGGATGTGGGGGCGGAGCTTTCGAAGAAGTATCCGCAGTTGTATAAAGAGGGAGTGAATAATAGTTTTTTTAATTGGAAAGTTGTTGGGATTTTGGCTTTGATTTCGGTTTATCAATCGATAATTGTGTATAATTTTGCGGTGATTTCGAGTACTGCGGGGTTGACTTCGTTGGGGAAAATGTTGGGGCAGTGGGACGTTAGCACAACCGCGTTTACGTGTCTTGTCATAACCGTCAATTTGCGGCTTTTAATGATGTGTAGTACGGTTACGAGGTGGCATATTATAAGCATTGGTGGGAGTGTGTTGTTGTGGTTCATATTCATTTTTATATATGCCATCGTTTTTGTAGATAAGGTATGTGTATATATATTAGGTTAAATTGTTTATCATCTCTGCTAAATTTGTTTATATTTTATGTCTTGAATTCAGGGGACTTATTTTAGTATTTATGTGCTGATGAGCACCATCTACTTCTATCTGATGGTCATTCTTATTCCCACTGTTGCACTTTTATTGGACTTCGTATACCAAGGGTAAGTTTTCTAGGGTTATTTTTGATGATGAGCAGCTACACAGTACAACGTGTTCTGTTATGTCATGTCATGTTGGTATTAATTTATTATTTTGACACTTAAAAGTGTGAGTGTTTCAGGTTTCAGAGATGGTTATACCCGTACGATTATCAGATTGTTCAAGAGATACACAGAGATGAGGCAGATACGGTTGGTGCGGGATTGCTTGATATAGGCGGCCAACTGAGCCCAGAAGATGAAAGAAAGTATGCATTTGCGATGCTACCAAAGGAAAAGTCAAAGCACACTGGTTTTGCGTTTGACTCGCCAGGGTACGAGTCGTTTTTTGCAACACAGCAAGGAGTGGTTGCACCACAAAAGGCTTGGGATGTGGTTCGAAGAGCTAGCATGAAACCAAAGGAAAAGAAACCTTTACTTGGTGAGCATCACTAGGAGTTTATAACACTAAAAGGAAAGAAAAAAAAAAACATACATGTAGATTAAGAAACATAAAAAGAGACTTGTAAATAGTTTTGGTTTTTATGAGTTTTGAATCATAATTTTGTTTTACTAGTCTTGATTTGATCATTCATTTTGTAGGAAGCTAGTCTCGAACCCTTGAAGTCTATGGCTTCTCCCTTTGTCATGTACATGTTAGGGGTTGTTTCTTTTTTTCTAGTTAAATGGTGCATGGGTAAATTGGCTGAGTGGACAAAGTCTTGCATACATAGTATTAATGAGACTAATTAAATGATCATTTTAACAATATTCATCAATTTAACATGAGAGGAGTTATAATACATTAAGTCATGTTTTTTAGGTTTAACTCATTAAGGGCGTGTTCGGCAAAATTAGCTGGTAGCGGGTAGCTTGTAGCATTTTGTTAAACGCTACATGAAGTAACATTTGGATTTGGAGCATTTTGTTTAAACTAAACGCTAGAAGCTTGTAGTGTTGAACAAGACTTTTTGTTCAAAACGGAGCATTTTGTCAAACACTAGAAACTACAAGCTCCCAGACGCTCCGTGACGAACACGCCTTAAGTTATTATGTCCGGATCAAGTAAAAAAAAAAACAACCATATATAGTTGTCCATATTAAGTGCTTAACCAATAAAGCTCATTAAATAAAAAAAACAACTCGTTAGAATCTTTCCAATGAATATAGGAATAAATACTTTATGTTCATATGTAATTTATGGCTTATGTGAATAACATATTATTTGGATTCATTTATTTATTGCTATAGTACAAAATATAAATGTATTATAGACATTCTTATACTAAGAGCATCTCTAATGGTTAACTTCTTTTAATAGTTTGTTTGGTTTTTATATATAAATTTAACTAATTTATTTTCATCTATCTTCAATGTTATATAAGACCCCCTCATTTAAATACAATTAATCGGGTCTTTATTTACATACATCAAATACGAAAAAAATTGTTAGGTTATAGTTAGAAAATAAACAAAATTATTGAAAATATTATATAATTGTTATAAGATTTGTTCTTCATACGTGAAATGCCATTAATTATTTAATAGAAATAATTAATTAGTAAAAAAGCAAAAAATATAAAACTTAAATATAATTAAAGGTGTAAATACTTTAGAAAATAAAATGTTTTAAGCACATATACTTAACTTAGATCCTAATCAACAAAGTTCATCAACCGTTTCTCCCTTGAATTTTCAATAATCACTTTCATGAGATTAGTCGACACAACCTGACCATGAAAATCTTGAAAAAAAAAATAAACGGTTGTTGTATTATAGATGTGTAATATAATAAATATTCACGTGTATATAAGGTAGAATGTTAAAATAAAATCTTACTAAATGCAACACGAGTGTCGAGATTCTTGGCTATTAAATCCTGGAAAGTCACAAAATTATAAGGATCCACCATGACAGCAAAATCATTTTATACACGAACTTTGGTTGTTTTGTAGAAATTATTCTAATGCTTATGATCAACCAACATGTAATCTCTTTCATTTCGGTCATACCAAAACTACTAATTTCCCTTACAGATTCTTCAACAAAGAGGGCTTCAAACGAACTAATGAATTTTTTTTTTATTGTTGCTTGTATTTTAGTGCCATGTAATTGAAATTTTTTTGGTTAAGTTTTAAATTTTATAAATTAAAAGCAACATAATAATAAAAAGAAAAAATTATACCTACTCGTCAATTAAAATCATGTCCAAGCTGTTGAACATGTTTGAGTTGTTTTTTAAGTTTGCTTCCAAAGCAAGAGTACTTGAACACGAATGTTTTCAGGTTTCTTTGGATGCATTGATGTCAGCAACCTTATCAAAGACGATCTCATCGCGACTGTTTTGTGCCATGGGTGTAAAATGAAAGGGAAAACAATTAGAATTAGAAAAAACTTTTATATGAAATAAAAGGGACGTATACAATGTATTTATCTGTAAAGAGCTATGATTCATAAAGATGTGTGAAAGCTATTATAGTTGTCAACAAAATTGTTTTCATACTTAATTTCCAAAGATGCATAAATAGATTATATATTATTTCCTATTAAATCAACCAAAAAGTGTAATAGGATCATACCAAAATATTTTAAAATCATATCAAAATTAACCGGATTTTTATGACATAATAATTTAAAAAAAATCATAATCATCTCTAATATATAAAAATAACATTTTTCCGAATTAGTGTCAACATTAAAGATAGTTAATTTCTGTTTTGTTAAAGGTCGTAATATCTTTTCCTGTTTATTTGAAAAGTTTCAGAAAAGTAGTTAACCGATTTCATATAATTTGTGACAAAGAAAATCGAAATATATGAATACATATATTTGATATAAGAACAAAAAAAAAATCGAAAAAAATATAAAAAGCGAAATAATGTACTTACCTTCTACTGCACAACAGCGAAGGTTTGAAGCAGAGAATGATGATGAAAATTATAAACAATAAGAATGATGTTGTAGGAGAAGATTTGAAGAAAAACAACGATTGAAAATAAGTGTGAACCACGAATTCAATGATGAATCGTATATATATGTGATAATTTGAATATGATTTTTTGTGTATTTAATGGTTTACTAATAAAACTGAATTTTATATTATTGGTTTATTAATAAAAACATATTTATATTAATGGTTGATATTAATGCGTTAATTGAAATGGTTTGTTACTAATATGTTTTTAAAGCTGACCATATTAAAACCTTTATAACCGGAAATTCAAGATTTAAAATATGAGAATATTTTATTGGAATTATATACATTCCATTTCAACGGATGTAAGTTAATTTTGTTTGACAATTAGAAAACTTTTATTGGAATTAAATATATTCCATTTGGAGAAGATGATGTCGGCAATTTGATCTAAGGGTAGAACACATAGGATTGAAATACAATCAATGGCCTAGATTGTCTAAGATGATGTCATAAAATTTATCTTTTAATAATATTTAGAGATATATTTATTACAGTGTTGATAATACAACTATTTAGAATAATGTTGTAGAAATCATAAATTATATACATTTTATATAAGCTTCTAAAATCAACAGCTATTCGAAAAACATCCATGAACCTAGCTATACCTTGTATATGTTATGAAAAGAACAAGCTCAAAACTCAAAATATCCATGAACCTAGCTACCTAGTATATGTTATGAACAGAACAAGCCTAAAACTCAAAATTAAAGAGACTAAAAATATCGAACTGTTCCACGAAAAACCACTTGATGATTAATTAATTAACTTCCCTAGACACCAGTATGATCGAGAAATCCCTTACAGTTTAAATTTTGTTCCTCAAGAAAAATTGGTTTGTGCATGTAAAACATCACCATATAGAACACAAGATTGTCGGCTTCTCTTGCAGCAGTAACCTTTAGCGGGAAATTCATTCCCCTGGAATATATAATGTATACTACTACCCAGGCAGGGAACATATTCGGCCTAGCAGTAGCAGAAGTCTCCTTTGATGTATCCGTAGCCTCAGCCAAGTTAAAACAATGGAAGCCAACAACCAGGCAACAGTTGAAATCTATAAGCGAAAACTTATCTATCAAATACTGCAAGTCTTGATCATTAAGCATTGTTGGAAAAAAGGTGACGGTATATGATTAACCTATTTTCTTCGTATATCGAATTCTCGACAGTTTATTATCACATATATATATATGATATCATAATCTTTTTAAACTAAATTTAATAATCCAAGTTTATTTTCACAGATATGGATAATCTTTTTTAACAAAATTTATATTGATTATCACCATACGAAGTATATTGTAATTTATTATTATTTGTTTTTGTGAAGTATATTGTAACCAAATTTAATATCGATAATCACTTGACTACGTTTGATATATATAGAAATCAGGGTGTGAATTAGAATGCATCGGCTTAATGGTGTGAAAAGTTTTGAAAATTTATCTTCAAATTTATACATTTTCACTGAATGATGATGATCATGCATGACTTCTTCTGTTTTATCATAAATCCGGTGTACTACCTTTCTACTGGATCTATGGTCATGCTCATGGATATGTCCCTTCTTTTAGTGTATAGAGCTCACAACCAGAGAACCCAAAGTACAAATTGTGGAAGAAGCGTGATCGTTATGTGGTTCTTTAGTAAAAATCCACCCTCTCTGAATGCACTATGGCGTCGTTCAACCTCTTCCCATCTTGCTTGGACTGCTCTCAAGAAGACTTTCCAAGCCTAAACCAATGCTACACACATAGCTATGAAGACCCAACTTCAGAATCTGCCTAAAGGCTCGTTACCCATGATTGAATATCTTGAAAAGAAACGTGTTATTCATGACTCCTTGGCTGAGAATCTTAATCCGATTTCTACAGAAGATCTCATTGGACACATTCTCAACGGGATTGATTCCTATTATGGTCCGTTCACTGCGACCTTTATGATAAAATATTATAATGATCTGGTTGATAACCTAATGGGCTTACTTCTTCAAGAAGAAGAAAGACTCGAACATGTGCAATCCCTTCTACATCCAATACATCCGCCCATTTAGCTCTCAATGTGTATCGCAACCAATCCGGGTACAACTCCAACAATTTTGGTGTCTCATCTACTCAATCTTTAGGCAATCGCTCTTCCGACCCACGACGTTGATGCCCTCAATGTCATTTGTGTAACAAATCGGGTCATGAAGCAATCGACTGCTAATAGAGGTCCAACCAGATCGACTATACATCCCGCCGACCCAATCCAAAATCTCCACATGCTCAAGCTCATATGGCTCAGTATCACAGCCCATCCATAGTTGCTGACCCGTCATGGTATTTCGACTCCGGTGCAACATATCATGTGGCTTCTGATCTTCAGAAAATGACTCTTGCAGAAGAACACCATGACTCATACTAACTTCAAGTTAGGAACGATACAAATCTACCTATTTCTCATATTGCATATACTTCTCTTCATAATCTCAAAT